AACCTGACTCGTATTTAGCCTGTAGAGGGCCTCTTTCTGCTTGTTTCCATGGAAATGGTGTTCTGTAAACTAAAATCTATCACAGATTACATTTACACTGAAACGAATCACTGAATCATCATATCAGAGTATCACCGTATCAGTAACGATTTGCGTCCAGACACGTCGTTTCTCTATCCACACAGCTTTGAGCACATTTGTTTATGTTTTACAGAAATGAAACTTAAAACCACATGGCTCATTTGCATAAACTCAGGCTACTTTCAGACTGCAGGGCTTAATGCTCAATTTGGACATTTTTGTGAAATCCGATGTTTTTTTCGAGGTCGTTCACATTTCCAGTTAAATGTGACTTGTATGTGACTCCAGTGTGAACATTAAACGGCCCAAAAGTGTCCCACATGTGACACTGGAGACACGACGACGTCAACCGCAGCGAGCGTCTCTGTGTTTACAGAAGTTGTCCAAACATGGACGCAGCATCGAGCACCTGGAGATTTTAAAGTTCCTCTCGTACCGGAGCCAGAACATGAACAACTTACTTGTTTTAAGGAGGAGATTGAGAAGGAGAAGGACGAGGTTTTTGGTCGTGGTGTTTTGTGGGACAGAACGTTGAAAGGAACGTGTGGATGTGGAGACGAGCCAAGAGTTGCGGGATAACTATATGCTTCGCTTCAGTGTTTTCATATGACAAGAAGAACATTTGTGTACATTTGTGTCTTGTTGATAACGTGTAGGTGGATGAATGCACTTTGGCCGTTCAGACTGAAGTCACATGTCAAAAGATCAGATATGTATCAGTTTCAGGAGCACATATCCAAGTGTCCTGGGTCACATTTGAAAAAATTGTATCTGTGTCGTTCAGACTGACATTAAAAGATCAGATACAGGAACACAGAGGCCAAAAAATCGGATTTGGGTCACTTCAGGCTGCAGTCTGAACGCAGCCTTAGAGCTCAAAAAAACAGCTCAGATGTGGTTCAGCTTCTGTCGGACTAAAGGACACGACTCAGTGGAATATGAGTGTTCTTTCTGTGACAGAGGGGTGTTCTGCTGATGGTGAGTCTGTTCTGTGTGAGTAGTTCTTTCTCCGCCTGTTTCCCGTTTGTCTCTGGTTTGTTTAAACGGTTTTCCTCAATATCGTCACATGAACGATGTCACGAACCCAGAGAATCAGGAAGGAGCGAGTCACAGTGATGTGGTCCAATAGGCGAGTTTCATTGTTGACAAAAGCGCGCGTTGCATGCTGGGAATTATTTTGGTCGGCGGCAAGAAACACTAATTCAACATGACGGACGGAGCGAGAAAGCACGTAAAGGGTATTGATCCCGGTTATTTATCCACTCTAACGGCAGAGGACCCAAGACCATTTGACCAGAAATTGGTCATAAACATCGACGGACGACAAATCACCCTTTTCAACCCCGACAAAAGGTGGACCAAACCAAATTTCTGGTCAGAATCACCAACTACCTGGACAAATATTCACTTGGGCGATATCCACAATGACTTGGTGGAAACTCCTGGGCCATTCACAGCAGAAAAGATGAAAACCTCCAAGAGTCTCGATGTGTTGTTGAACTTGTTGGAGTCCACGGTTTGTTAGGATCTTCTACGTTTGCTCTGCGGATGTTTGAAAGTCGTTTAATTCACCGTTAGCGGTTCTTTTCACTCAGAATACGAAAAAGACATTTTCCTTCTTCCGTGTTTCTATTTGTGCATCCGATAATGCAGCAGGAATTTACCATTATCGGGGATAAATACGCGAGGTTACGCACTGTGTTTGACGCTACCGTGTTTCTTGCCTCCGACCAAAACATTTCCCAGCAGCAACGCGGGCTTTTAATAACAATGACGTCAGCTGAAACTCGCCTATAAGGACGAGACTCGAGCTCCTACGTCAGAGTATCAGTGTTTTCAGGCGTCCGCACAGTCAAGGATCAGATCTGTACGAACATGAATTTGTGGGAGCTGGAGGCACCAGATCGTTTCGTCCCTGGAGCCGTTTTCCATCGATTTAGTGTGAACGAACACTGCACCCACAACGAAAACGACTCGAATATGTACATATATATTCTGTTACGGGTGACGCGTGACCTCTAGAACGTTACTCGGTGTCGCTTTAAGTCCGATAAGTAGTAATAATCTAGTACCTGATTATGAACTGAGTCTTTCGTCACACTTTATTAAGACTAAATAAAGTGTAGCTCGTTGGTTTATTGTCGTTGGCGGCTCAGATGTGACATGACACGAGCTCGGTCTATTGTTATCATTGTTATCTCTGTCATGTGGAGCAGCCGACACGGTGAAGGTCGGACGAGGTGAGAACAGAGCGTCCTTCAGCGGTGTGTGTGTGTGTGTGTGTGTGTGTGTGTGTGTGTGTGTGTGTGTGTGTGTGTGTGTGTGTGTGTGTAGACTGTGTGTGTGTGCTGCTGCTGCTGCTGCTGCTGCTCAGGTCCAAACAGGAAGTGAGCACGAGCGCAAAGTGATTCCATCGAGGTTTGGTTCCAATTTACTGCCACTGAAAAATGGTTGGTTCTTTCTAATCCGTGTATCATTCGTTCATTCGTTTTTCAATATAAAACCAAAAATAAGAAAATGAAAAAACAACAGTTTTCTTTGTTATTTGTCTCCAAAACCAAAATGAAAAAACGGATAATGATTCATTTTTTCAGTTTTCGATTTTGTGTTTAAATGAAGAATGGAAAAAACGGATAACGGCCGTTTCTCGTTTACGTGACGTCCGTGACTGCGATGCCGAACTTTTGCACCACATACGGACTGAACCGGGACTGATCCAGGTCCGAGACCAGACCGAGACCAGAGCGGGACTGAGACCGGGACCAGACCGGGACCAGAGCGGGACTGGTCTGGTCCCAGTCTGGTCCCGGACCTGGTCCATTTGAACCAAAAGCTCTTAGTTTGATTCATTTTCATTGGTGTGAATGTGTCAGTCGGAGGCTTTGTTTTTACCACCTCTAGGAACCAGCCGAGTTCTTGAGCGCTGAGGACCTTTAGACAAAAGCTCTGTCCCGGAGAGTCTCAGTTTGAAATTGGTCTCATAAGAGGGGAAGATGTACAGTTACATGCCTATAAAACATTACATTATTATCAACTTATTAGTGTACAAAGTTCAAAATAACACATTAACAAATTTGAGTTATTTAGTACATTATGTATATACACAATACATTGTTTATTTTGGTACCATTCATAAATGATAAACTTTTGTGCCTTCTTCAGTACAATTATTAGTTTGTATGACCATAAATGAAAACAAAAAATCTTAATTTTTTTATTCTTATTACTGTTTATTTTGTATGATCATAAAGGATAAACTTTGTGTCTAGATTAACATTATTATTAGTTTGTAAGACTATAAATGAAAATATGTTTCTGCCTGTGTGTATATGTGTGAGTATAAGTACTATATATATATGATGTGTGTATGTATGTAAGTATATGTGGATATGTTTTTGTATATATGTGTATATTTTTGCAAATGACAGGTAAGCACTCCAAAGGTGATTAAAATAAAAAAATAAATAAAAAAGTGAACCATGTGATTATGTAAAACAATTGAAGTTGGACTCCATTTTTTAAACCTCATCCTCCTCCTTTTGAGCACCAGGTCCCAAATATGTCATGTACAAATCACTATTTTTGTTATTGTTTTTGAATTGTGTTGTACCTGGCTCAAACAAAGAAATAAATGAAATGTATAATTCAGAAATCCTTTGGCGAGTGACTTGGAAGAGGGTGGAGAGCTGCCAGTAGCTCCCGAGTTCCACGTTTGAGACCCCTGGTTTAGAGCATAAAACACTTTGGAACAGTTTTGATGTAAAATGCAAGTTTGATTGACAGCTTCATTACACGGTGCCCACCAAAGCAGTGGAGGGAGTGTGTGCCCTCAAGAGTCTCGCTCCTGATTGGCTCTGTGGTTTCACGCTCAGACTTCCAAACATGTTCGTAGTTGCAGATTCGACATTGTAACTTGTGGCCTTGATGAGATTCATTTGGTTAAAATCGAACACACTCCTTCAGTCACTTTTACTCTGCAGGCTGTGACTTCCAACAGGTTCATTTGTTCTTCCAATATTATGTCCAGATAAGGTTCTTTTTGACAAACCACTGTGTCGTTTACACCTCGATACCTTGACGACCATTTGCCGTTTTGAGGCCTTCTTCGTCTTTCTTCAGAAGGGTCACGTTGTGTTACGGTGACGTGTCTTGCAGCTGATTTATACAAAACTTTCAAGGGATTTTGTCTTGGAGAAGTGGGACTGCAGATGGTTCTGTTCCCCTTCCAAAGCAGGACGGAGATGAAGAAAGATGTAGAAGGCCAGAACATCCAAGAACACAGTGTTTTGTCAAAAACAGGGGTGTGCAATTATTTTTTTCTGTCAGGCCACATGAGAAACACAAAATATTGTGGAGCCAAAAGCAGAGACGATCGGAGAATCTGCTGATCTGAATTTGATACAACGACCTCCTCAAACCAGGACTAAACCAGGACTGAAACAGGACTAAACCAGGTTTGAACCGGGACTGGACCAGGGCTAGGCCAGGACTGAACTAGAACTGAACCGGGACTGGTCCAAGACTGAACCGGGATTGAAGTAGAACTGAACCGGGACTAGAACGTGGGCAGGGCTAGACCAGGACAGGAACAGGACTGTGCCAGAGCTGAACCAGGACTGTAGCAGGATTGAACCAGGACAGAACCAGGACTAAACTAGGGCTAAAGTAGGATTAAACTACATAAATAAAATGTTTATTTTGTAATTCCCAATGAGTTTAAACGGGCCAGTCAGAGTCAACCAAAGGACACGTATGTGGCCCGGGAGCTGGACAATGTCCAGGTCTGGTCAAAAAGAACTTTTGTTTGGATATACAGTGTATGGTTGTGCTGTGTGTGCACCAAACATGACGCTGATGTACTGTACTCGTGCCCTGGTCTCTGATGCTGACTTCCTCTCTCTCTTTCTCTGTTGTTCTAGAGCCAGGCCTTGGCCCACTACAAGGGGACCAAACACGCCAAGAAGCTAAAGGCCCTGGACTCTCCAAAGACCAAGCCCAAAGCATCAGCCGTCACCAAGGAGACGACCAACCCGGAGCCAGCGAGCGTCACGGCGTCGCCCGTCCCCAACGGCACCGCCACCGACCGGAGAGGTGAGGAACACGTGCTACTACTAGTACTTAGAGGTTCTGTTGACGCTTTAACTGCTTTGACGTTTGGCTCCGATTTTACTCCGTCACTCCAAAACATACAGGGGCTTTGGACGCATCGCCCAAGTTCATGACAACAGAAATCGTGTAAATGTAATTGAAGTTGATGGGATGGAACCACCGACGTCTTTACCTGTCGAGTCTGAACCACACGCTTTGACAAATCTTTACGAAGACGAGTGGATCTGGAGAAAGCCCCGCGGTCGAAACATGGACGAGCTCAATGGCGCGTGTCTCCAGTTTAGCCTAGATCAAACTTTCGTACTTCCAGTGGCTCTCTGCCCATAGACTTTTTTCACAACATCCAGAAGTGCTGAGATGTAGGGTAAATGTCAATTACGTTAATGGTTTTCTGCCGGAGAATACGACACACATTTACACACACATTTTGACACAGAAAACCATTAACCAGGAGTGACGTTTCCCTGCATCGCGGCATGTCCGGCTGTTGTAAAAAAGGTCTAGTGAGCGGATTAAAAAGTTATTCTGAACACAATTGAAGGATTTTGAGCTGAGAAAAAGTTTATTTATATCTAAAAATAGGTTAAAACTGCCACAAAATCTGATCTTTTTTGGAAACTGTAGGTCCCTGTCAGCCCAAATCGAGGAGTTTGTGATTGCATTGCGCTTTATGGGAAAAATCCTTTCTGGGCAGGAGTGATTTTTTTTTCGCTGAAGTACCATTGAGTGTCACTAGGGCAACTCCAGACACCTCTATGCTAGAAATGCTCTATCCAGTGGGGTGGTCCTTATCCAATGGAAAAAATAAAAGCTCTCTTCAACCTTTTTTCCTCTGATGAGCTACTTTTACCAAACGAAAAATCGAAAATGAGCTACTCATTTTAACAGCTGCAAGAAATTGACTAAATGTACTGTATTTTCCGGGCTATTAGACATGTCCTTAAGTCTCCAACCCCATCAAAAAAACGACTGCTCCCCATAATCCAGAGCGCCCCATACACGAATCCACGCGGGTGTCCCAGCACGACTTCAGTAAACTACAAAGCCGCAAACACACACGGAGCAGACAGCGACCGCACAGCGAAACACACCCACAGACACACTCATCACTCCACGCCGACGAGGAACGGAACGGAGGAACGAACCGAAAAAAGCGAGCGCGACGTGCCGCTTCTAGACACGACTGAACAACTGAGTCACTGCGAACACGCCGACAATCCAGACACACCCTCCCTACACGCCACAACTGAACAAAGCCCAGAGTCACCGTGAACGAACAAACAAACAAAACCACTCACCCATCACACTGTTGGGTTTCCTTTACAGTCCCACGCGGTTTATTTGTGAAAAAAGCTCGAAGATAAACCATTTAATGACAGTGCGTCTTATAATCCAGAGCGACTAATAGAAAATACAGTATGAGCCTTAGATTTGTACAGTTAGATACTTATAAAACAAACCATTATCCATTTATCAGTGCACAGAGTTAGGCATCAAAATGTACATTTACAGTGGTAATAGGCATTTAAGTCTTTTTTTGTTGTTGTTGTTATTAAGCACAATTCAGAAATCCCTTGGTGAGTCACTTGGAAGGGGATGGAGAGTCACTGGTTGCCCCCGAGCTGCAGGTTTAGCATTTACTGTATTTTCCGGGCTATTAGTCTCTCTGGATTATAAGACGCACTGTCATTAAATGGTCTATTTTCGAACTTTTTTCACAAATAAACGGCGTGGGACTTTAAAGGAAACCCAACAGTGTGATGGGTGAGTGGTTTTGTTTGTTTGTTCGTTCACGGTGACTCTGGGCTTTGTTCAGTTGTGGCGTGTAGGGAGGGTGTGTCTGGGACCAACGGATTGTCGGCGTGTTCGCAGTGACTCGGTTGTTCAGTCGTGTCTAGAAGCGGCACGTCGCGCTCGCTTTTTTCGCTTCGTTCCGTTCCTCGTCGGCGTGGAGTGATGAGTGTGTCTGCGGGTGTGTTTCGCTGTGCGGTCGCTGTCTGCTCCGTGTGTGTTTGCGGCTTTGTAGTTTACTGAAGTCGTACTGGGACGCCTGAGTGGATTGTGGGGCGCACAGTTGTTTTTTGATGCGGTTAGAGGCTTAAGACCGCGACCTATAGCCCTGAAAATACGGTAATAGAAATGGGGTTTGCAAAGTTTCACAAAATTCCATGCATATTTGAAGGTAACTCAAAGACCTTAACATTTTTATCACTGTGGTTTCATTACTGCTGAAGAACTGAAGGAAACACAATTAGAGTCACATTTTTGCAACATAATCTCCTGTTCGATCAACACGTACATGCTTTTCTTGTCTTATGAAAGAAAAGATGATATTGACTCAGAGAAAAAAAATATTATTGATGCTTGTTATTACGCTGAAAACACGTTTCAATTAGAGGCAATGAAAAAGAAAGTTCAGTGCAAACTAAAAGAAGTGTTTGTCTGAGAGAAAACTCTTGAAAGCTTGATTCAGAAATGCTCCTTCTTGCTTTCACTGTATTCCTCCCAGATTTTGCATTTGACCCGTCCTTTCAGGAGCAGTGGGCAGCACGTGGGGAACCCGGGGACCCATCTCCATCATCTCGTTGCGAGACTCGGTCAGAAATTGCATCAGTTACAGAAACGTCTGGGCGTTTGAAATATTAATGTATTTTCATAAAACTTGCAGCATTTTGGGAAGATCAGACCAAACGATTTTAAAAGTTCCAGTTATTTTAGTAGATCCGTCATCAGTGAGTTAAACCCTACTTTGTCAAATTTTGATGAAACTTGGTATATTTGGCACGACTTAAGATGGGGGTAAGTCAACTTCTTGGTAAATTTGTGTGAAAATAAAAAAAGAAAACCCCTCCAGATGTTTTATATGTTGTAGTAGACGTATAGGGCTACATTTTTTTCTATTGGTGTCACTGAGGTCGGGCGTGTTCCTTACTGTCAATAGGCGAGTTTCATTGTTGACAAAAGCGCGCGTTGCATGCTGGGAATTATTTTGGTCGGCGGCAAGAAACACTAATTCAACATGATTGACAGAGCGAGAAAGCACGTAAAGCAGGGCTGCTCACACTTTTTCATCATGTGAGCTACTTACAAAATGACCAAGTCAAAATGATCGACCTAATACAAAGCCAAACAAACTGCACTGAAACACTCTGTGCCCCTTTTCTGGACCCTCCCCCACAGTTTGAGAACCTCTTCTTTAAGAGAACTTCCTCTGGCACTTTACACAAAACTGTGAAAAAAGTGAAGGAAGATTTTTAAACCTGTTTTTTAAAGTTCCAAACTGGAGTTTCATTCTTTTGTGGTTTTGCAGTGATATTTACCAGCCTCTGCACGTTTACCAAACCAAACGCACATCGTGACAAACACAGATGCATTTGTCACTTTTGTTAGACAAACTTCAGCCAAATGTGGCAGTAGGTCTGTTCTGTAGATCCGCTCTATGCTGTAGACCTGCTTTGTGCCAACACTGGAACACAAATTTAGACTGGTTTTTGCTTCACGTTTGGTCTTGTTCTTCTAATCAGCCGCACTGTGGGAGGGGCTTGTGTTGGCTGTACGCAGGAAGGAGCGAGAGCGTGAAAAGGCGAGGGGCGGCGTGCTGACGTGAGGCAGATGGACAGGTAGGATGTTTAGGAAGTTGAACCTGCCCTGTGATGCACGCTGGTACACGAGGGCACACGCTGTCGCAGACGAGCCGTGCATAGGGAGCGTGTGTGTTTGTGATGCGCCGTAGAGTCTCCGCGGGTTTCAAATGAGCGCACAGGCTGCACTGAGACGCCCCACACGCTCCTGCACCCGCTACAAGTTTATTACCAACAGCAGCGGCCGGAATGAAACATGATCACACTTGTTGAGTGTCAGACCTCGAGTGAGAGACAAGACCGAGTCCAAACGCGAGTCCGAGATGAGAACTAAGACACGGCGATCTACCCACACGACCTTGGCGATCGAACTGGTAGATTGCCATCGACATATTGAGCACCCCTGACATAAAGGGTATTGATCCCGGTTATTTATTAACTCCAACGGCAGAGGACCCAAGATGATTTGACCACAAATTGGTCATAAACATCGATGGAGCCAAATCACCCTTTTCAACCCCGACAAAAGGTGGACCAAACCAAATTTCTGGTCTGAATCTCCAACTACCTGGACAAATATTCACTTTGGTGATATCCACAATGACTTGGTGGAAACTCCTGGGCCATTCACAGCAGAAAAGATGAAAACCTCCAAGAGTCTCGATGTGTTGTTGAACTTGTTGGAGTCCACGGTTTGTTAGGATCTTCTACGTTTGCTCTGCGAATGTTTGAAAGTCGTTTAATTCACCGTTAGTGGTTCTTTTCACTCAGAATACGAAAAAGACATTTTCCTTCTTCCGTGCTTCTATTTGTGCATCCGATAATGCAGCAGGAATTTACCATTATCGGGGATAAATACGCGAGGTTACGCACTGTGTTTGACGCTACCGTGTTTCTTGCCTCCGACCAAAATATTTCCCAGCAGCAACGCGGGCTTTTAATAACAATGACGTCAGCTGAAACTCGCCTATTTCAAGGTATAATTTGGGATTCTGATACAGATTTGGATTCCTTATGATGTCCCCTTTCCAGATAAACCTTGGTTTTTGATATTGGATCAGTAGTTGCAGAGTAAACGCAATATGAAATCCGGTGAACACACAAAAAAGTGATAAAAACGAAATTGTGATATCTCGGTAACCTCTCTCTTACTCTGATTACTCCTAAAATTTGAGATTTTGTCTTTCTTGGCTATGACTTACACCAATATTCTTTGCAATTGGACAATGTGAGAGTTCAAATTGCAATTTTTTTGGGTGAACTGAAGTGGAATTTGTGATTTCAGAGGGTGTGATTGACAGGCGGATTAACCAATCAGGGAGACAAATGCTGCATTTAAGTAAAAAATCTACACTAAAGACTTAAGAAAGTGTGGATTTTATCAAACTCAACAATCGAAGC